GGAGGAAGGGAAAGGAGAATGTTAGCCGCTTTGAGACTCCTTAAAGGGAGTGAAAGGTGGGATATCAAATCCAAACTCTTCTTCTTCTCTTCTCTGTCTTACAGTAAACTAGCCTAAAGGTTACCAGAGAATAGACAACAGAAGTTAGGCTATCACTGTCCAAATAGCTGATGGAAGGCAGTCCCTGCTACTAGGGCCACCTGAGCCTCGGGTGACAGCAAAGGATCCAGACGTAACCCCAAACTGGATGCCCGCTCCTTCAGAGGGAGTATAACCACATAAAGCTTGGTTGATCAGGGGAATGCTGTGGACGTAGTGTATCTTGATTTCAGCAAGGCTTTTGACAAAGTCACCATGATATTCTTGTGAGGAAGCTGGTAAAATGTGGGCTGGACACGGTAACTGTTAGGTGGATTTGTCAGTGGTTGACTGACCAAACCCAAAGAATACTCATTAATGGTTCACACACACACACACACACACACACACTTTTTTTAAACATATCATTTCAAACAATCATTTAACATAAATTCTTATCTTTTACAATATTTTGGACTTCCATCAACAACCTCTGAAGATTTTCCGTTCTTTATCACTTATTCTGCATTTCTTAATTTCTCTATTTCTTTTAATTATCATTAACAAGTAATTCTCTTCATAATCTTCCTTGCAATATTTCACGTAATTCTCCTTCTTGCACTCCTACTAGTTTAATCTGTTTATTACAATTGCTTTTTAGATAGTTTGAATATTTACTCCAATCTTCTAGGAATCTCTGGTCCTGCAGGTTTTGAATCCTTCCTGTTAATTTGTCTAATTCTGCATATTCCATTAATTTCATTTGCCACTCTTCTTTTGTCGGTAATTCTTCTTATTTCCATTTCTGTGCCAATAATATTCTTGCTGCCATTATTGCATATAAAAACATTTTACAATCCTGTCTGTCATTGTCCTCCCCTACAATGCCCAGTAAAAATGCTTCTGGTTTTTTAATAAATGTATATTTCAACATCTTTTTCATCTCATTGTATATCATTTCCCAGAAGTTTTTCACTTTCTTACATTCCCACCACATGTGATAAAAAGTTCCTTCTTTTTCTTTACATCTACATTAATGGTTCCTAGTCATCCCAGGAAAAAGTTACAAGTGGGGTACTGCAGGGTTCCACCCTGCGCCGGTTGTTGTTCAATGTCTTTATAAATGTCTTGAATGAAGGAATTGAGGGGATGATCATCAAATTTGCAGATAACACCAAACTGGGAGGGGTGCAAGACAGAATAAGGGTCCGAAATGACCTTAACAGATTGGAGAACTGAGCCCAAACTAGCAAAATGAATTTCACTAGGGACAAATCTAAGGTTCTCCACTTAGCCAGGAAGAACCAGCTGCACAAATGTCATATGTAGGGGGGGGCACTTGGCTTACTAGTAGTACATCCAAAGCCTTTGCTGGTCCCTGGCAACAGGCAATGGCGGAGTCTTGGGTGGAGGAAGGATTTTCCTATCACCTACTACCATATCCTTTTAAAACCGGTGATGCCAGAGATCGAACTTGAAAATTAAATTGACTAGAACTGAAGGAAAGGAGGATCTGGGATACTTCCGTACACCAATGGGACTGCAATACAGGGACACAGGAAGCTGCTTTTATATTGAATCAGACCACTCATCCATCTAACTCAGCACTGTCATCAGTTACCGCAGTGGCTCTCTGGGGCATCAGATAGGAATTTTACCCAGCCCTACCTGGAGATGCCAGGGACAGATTATGGGATGTTCTGCATGCAAAGCAGATGCTCTGCTGCTACACTGTGACCCTTCGCTGAATAACTTCTTTCCAATATCTGCAGTGGCAAGTCAACCTGCCAGATTGCCACAGCGTTCTCTACCTCTGCATAGCTTCAGTGCCTTGGTATTGCTTAAATTATGTGTGTTCAGTAGTTCTACCTGGAGATGTAACAATTTGAGCACCCTGCAGTTTGTTTGCAGCACAAAGAAAAGAATGAATAGCTCCTCCATACTTTTTTTTAATTGATATAAACCATCATATCTGTGGCAAATTAGTATTAACTATGTAGGAGTTTTGTTGAGCAAAGTGGTTTTTCTTTAAATTGTAGTCATGCTTGTGTGCTCCTTTTTAAATTCAAAGTGTATATAATTGAGGTTCATAATACGAGTTCTTTCACTCCTTTGCCCTTGAAGATTAGAGGGGGTGAAACACTTCTGGTACTTTCTTAAGAGAACATTTCAGTGCTATTTGTGAAACAAACAAACTGAGGATATTTTGAGAAAAGCATGAACACTCTCGTGGTTCAGGTATTATTCTTATTTTAAGGTAGCATGCATAGTTCTCTTCTTGCCTGTATTACCATCACAACCACCCTATGAGGTAGTTTAGACTGAGAGACAGTGACTGACCCAAATCACCCTGGTGAGCTTCATGGCTAAGTTTGTATTTGGACTCTGGTCTCCCAGTTCCTAATCCAACACACTAACTGCTACACCATGCTAGCAAGTATGACAAGTGTCAATCTTTCTGTACAGATTAAAATCTGATGAGTTCACATGACCGGTTCAAATAACAAGTATATTTCAGAATCCGAGACCAGGGAGAAGAGTCGGTGAAAGAAGACTGGAAGAAATTTAAAGACTATTTACAGAAATATTGTAAAATTAAGGAATCTTAGAAGGATGTTGGATAGAAACTAAGAGCTTTTTAGCTGTAATGCTTTAAGAGATATGAAAAAAGGTTTACAATTGGGCAAAAGTTTAATGGTAAGGATTTGCTGAACTAACAAACTGAACTGGAATACAAAAAGGGAGGTATGAGGAGGTCCGGGAAATAAGTCTAGAGAAGATAGGTTTGGAAAATTAATGTCTTTTTAACTGTCTTATTTTGTATGTTTCTTTTTTATCCTTTACTTTTTTGTTATATTTTAAAAAAACTTTACTCTTTTTTCTGTATTTTGTATTTCTTCTATTTTTTGAAACTTTAATAAATATCATTTAAAAAACAAAAAACAAATAACAAGTATATTTCACCTGACATTTTTCTGATTAAAAATGTGACCAATTTCAGATACAGCCAGCTAACATAATGGACAAAACAAAGCAATAGGTTGTCAGAACTCCGCTCGGCCAAGCCGATAGGGCCTCATCTTCCTCCGAGCCGAGTTTTTGAAATCACCTCCGACATGTTTAATGACCTGAGCCTTTGATAAGGCCTCAAGCACATTCTATCCAGCAGGGTTCCCAGCACAGGGAAGAGACGAGAGGTTTGGCTACATTGTAAAGAGTTGTATTTCTAAACTACGCAGAACAGAAAAGACATCCTCTCTCTATGAAAGCAGAGAGCAACTGAACAAAGGAACAAAGGAAACAGGAAACCACTAACGTCACATCCTGTCTCCTCTCCCGTGAGACTGCAAGGTTGCTAGAATGTAAACAGAGTCCTGTGACTCCCAGCAGCTGCTCAGTGAGAAACAGAAACTAACAGTTGTTTGCACGATTGCAAGTCAGAAGTGGTAGAATTTGGGGGGGGGGGGACAGAGGAGGCTAGAGACCTACCCGCCCAAGAATGACTGCCCCCGGGGTTGATCAGACAAAAAAGTCTGCTCCTGTAAGTCAAGGTTAAATGACAAAGAAGAGCAAGACTTCCTTTCTGTTTCCACACTTCGACAGGGTGGCATTGCCCCGTGGCAAGTATTTTATTCATTTATTTATTACTGCAATTATATTCCACCTTTCCTCCAAGTAACCCAAAGTGGTTCACCCCACCACTACCAGTTTTAATCCCCAGACTCTCCAGGTACGGTTGATAAAAATCTGGAGAGCTAGTTCCAATCAATATCAAACTTACTGAGCTGCATAGACCAGCAATCTGTATGAGGCAGTTTCCTATATCCCCAAACAGGTAAGGCAGAGAATTTTGGCTTGGGTAGCAAGGCCAGGCAAGGTGTACTATAAAACCTGGATTAGCAGTTAGGGTTTGAAGAAGGCTGGAGAAGAGGAGTCACCCCTGTTGCTTACCTCCAGCATTTTTCTTTTTGCTGATGTTAGAAGAAGGAGCCAGCTGTATGCCAGGTAGCCTGTGGTTGATTTTTCCCCTATTTTAATTTATAAATATATGTTCTGTTACCTGCCTTCTCTCCCCACCCCTGCTAAGCACAGACTTGCTTCTCAGGAAACATGCATAGGATTGTGCATTTAAATATGCAATGTTTGATGCTTAGCGGTTTCCCAGAGGCCCATAAGAATTGCTCCGTCATTTCTGAATCACGTCGCCTCTTGGGGAGTGAAGAAATGGTTAAGAGCTTGTAATGGACAGAGCATAATTAGGTGTGGCGCATCATGCTGGTTCTCTGCTTTGCCTCAGCTACTTCTTCTAATTCATTTACAGAACAAATGGCGGCATCCCTCCTCCGTGGAGCTTAGGAGGGACTCGCATGCTGCTAAGTGCATGAGGCGCTAAGAGGGCTTTTTTGTTGGGTGGAGCAGAATTGGGAAAAGAAGAAGGGGGACGTAATCCCTGGGGATTAGGGCAGGTTGTGGCAAAAGCTGCCTTCCAAGGAGGATTGTCACGGCGGCATGTGGCGGCGGCGGCATTTTCTTTAAGTGTGAAGTGAATACACGGACAAGGTTCTCAAAGAGCATTATCTGGAAGTAGCTTTTCTAATGGCTCTACACTGCCCTGGAAATCCTTCTCATACCTGTGTTTAGGGACACGTGCCAAATGTATGGCTTCAGAGCTAAAATCTTTTACAGGACCTGATGCAGTGTGCAAGTTTTAAAAGTGGGATTTGATTCCAATTTATAGGTATGTGGTACCTCAGGTTAAGAACTTAATTCATTCTGGAGGTCCGTTCTTAACTTGAAACTGTTCTTAATCTGAATTACCACTTTAGCTAATGGGGCCTCTCGCTGCCACCGCATGATTTCTGTTCTCATCCTGAGGTAAAGTTCTTAACCCGAGGTACTATTTCTGGGTTAGCGGAGTCTGTAACCTGAAGCGTATGTAACCCGAGGTACCACTGTATTTATGTGTTGGTGTATGTGTGTACACACACACACACAGTTACAGTGGTACCTCGGGTTACAGATGCTTCAGGTTACAGACTCCGCTAACCCAGAAATAGTACCTCGGGTTAAGAACTTTGCTTCAGGATGAGAACAGAAATCGTGTGGCAGCAGCGGGAGGCCCCATTAGCTAAAGTGGTGCTTCAGGTTAAGAACAGTTTCAGGTTAAGAACGGACCTCCGGAACGAATTAAGTACGTAACCAGAGGTACCACTGTAATACATAATGACAGTAATTTCCCAACTTCCCTTCCCCCCATAGACCTCTTGAGGTTCTTGCTGGACTGCTTAATGATTTTTCTACTTGTTGTAGCAATTGCAATGTACAATGCTTTCCACTGTGTTGCCATTTGAATGCTATAGAAATCGAATGGCAACACGGTGAAATAAAAGAAGCAATGAAAGTACCATTAAAAATCAATATGAATATTTAATGCAAGGAATTTGCCATCCTCCCATCTTCAACCACAAACCCACTGACATGCCACGGACAGCCTCAATGAAGCTCAAGGACCCCTGGTGGTCCATTGACCACTGCTTGGAAACTCTTGGCATATGGTATATTATGCTGCAGAAAAGGCAGTGTTTAACTATCTCAGTCCCTCCGAGCTCACAAGCCCACAGCTCCTTGTATAATACAATATCCAGTGATACACTATCCAATAATGTAATGATTTAGGGCAGCGCCCACACTTGGCTGTACTATTGTCAGCACTTGCTGGAAGCCTTCATGCGTAAGGCAAGCCTGACCAGGCATGTAAATTAGACGTGTACTTTAATATGTAATTTTGTTTTATAATGTACTAGCAGCTTCATACTTGGCCTTGCCCTGGAATTCTAAGTCACAACCAAAGCAGTGCACCCATGGAAATCAGAGACAAAAATCAGTGCAGTTTTGAAAGCTTCAGCCCGCCATCTTGATTCCATGCAGTGTCCAATTGTATCCTAACTTAGACAAAAACTTTGGATATCTTAAGAGGGGTTCAAATGCATTGTGAACAAACAACTTTCCAAAATATATGGTACATATATTTTAAACTGCTATTTTTTTATATTTTGGAAATTTTTCAGTTAAGTTGTTTTTGACAAATTATTTTATCTGTAACTTTAATGTGAATTTTATGTAAACTTCTGGTCGATTTTTGATTATTGAATAGTTTGTAAACCCCGTTAGAACACTGCTTCATGTCCAGTTCCTGTTGGAGAGAATGTGGCAGAATCTGGGTCCTGAGTTTGTTTGTTTCTTTGTTTTAATGTCTGTTGTTATTGAAAATGCTTCCTTAGATTTTGAAACAATTGATGACTGCAAGGACCTATCCCAGCTTCCTTGTGGGTCCATAATAAATCCTAAAAATGTAATGGTGAACAAATCTTTTGGTCAGATTTTGCAAAGGTCTGATAATCAGTAGGCTGTATTTCAGCTAAGTCCTACTCAGAGTAGGCCTAGTGAAATTAATGGAGTTCATTAACTTTATTAATTTCTGTGAATCAACTGAGTAGGGCTAGCATGGGCTATGGCCCAGTATCTTTGACCATTGGAATAAAACAGATTTCACCTTCTTATTTCCCAAGGGAGGACATATTTTACTGATATGCCAGAAATGCAATATACTTCCACTGCTCGTAGAAGCACCTTCCCCCCACTAAATATAACAAGTTAGAAATATATCCTTCAAAGATAAAAATCACGGCCAATAGGTTCCAGCTGAAAGGCAGGCCTGAAATAGAAACAGTTTCTATCCTTAAGAAATTTCTGCTGATGGCACATATTTGGGCGCACTAAGTATTTTGTGCGCACGCACAAAGAGAGATTGTTTGGTAAATGCCACAACTCTTTCAGGTCTCACAGAATTAAAGCAGATTTTATATTCAGATTCAACTTATTTGAATAGTGAAATGTGTTGGGTGTTAATTAACCTAGCTGAGAAGATTCAGCTGTGGTCTAATTATAGTATGAGAAACATCATTCATTTTGTTCTCACTTGTAGCATCCCGAATGTCACCAATAGTGTGTGTGCAGACACACACACACACACCACATATAATTTGACTTCCATGTAGGGCAACCACTTATTCATTGTCAAAAGAGAAAAAAATGCATCACCAAACAAGAGAACAAAAGAGAAGATAGATTTGTAGGGAGTGTGTGTGTGTGATGTAGGGAAGCAAATTTTAGAAAGAGTCACTGTAATTTAAATAGAAATACCGCATACATTATCACACTGGGGCAGGCTGTGCCCTGAGTTCCCCCTCAGTCTGCTACCCCTTTACAGTGGAACCTCTGTTTTTGATCGTAATCCGTTCTGGAAGTCTGTTTGACTTCCGAAACGTTCAAAAACTCTGGATCAAAGGGCTGTCAGCAAGTTCAATGGGGGGGGGGGAATGAAAAACGCACCTCGGAAGCCATTCAACTTCCAAGGCGTGTTTGAAAACTGAAGCATTCACTTCCGGGTTTTCAGTGTTCGGCTTCCGAAACATTTGGCAACTTAAGTCATCTCTAGTGGACTTCTCTTGATATTAATAAAATAAAATTTTATTATTAACAAGAGACAAGGGCCCTGCAGGACTTGACATCTTTCCGCAGGGCCTGCAAGACAGAGCTGTTCCACCAGGCCTTTGGCCAAGGCACAGCCTGACCCCCTCCTTTGGTAACCCTCACAGGACTCTAGCCCAATGGTTGCCATTAATTTGATTTTGAATTGATTTTAGAATGAATTGAGTTTAGAATGCTGTATTACTTTTATGGTTGTTAGCCGCTCTGAGCCCGGCTTCGGCTGGGGAGGGTGGAATATAAATAAAATTTTATTATATTATAAATTCTATAAATTATTATTATTATTATTATTATTATTATTATTTATTACCTCCACCCATTTCCAGCAGGCTTGCCTGTTGTCAAAAGCAGAGAACAGGGAGCCACTTGCCATTCTAAGCACTCACCATACCCCATAAGTTGCCTTGCCCTAGATGACCGCCCCATTCAGCTGTCCCTAGATAAAGGTGTTCGTCCCTTTCTCATCACATTAGAACTCAGGGAAATCCACTGAAGCTGAATGTTGACCAGCCACATTGCTATTACAGGGAATATGGTGTGAAAACTGAACCTGGCTCTGCAGTCTCCAAACCCAACTCATTAACTTACTAGACCACTTACGGTCTGCCTAAGCCGTTCAGTTCTGTTCAATATGCAACTGCTTCAATCACAGCTGCTTTCAGTTGGTTAACACTGAAGCCAGTATATTCTCCCACTTACGGAACCTTTTTTTTATGCAGGCGGTGAACTTATACGTTGGGAGGTTGCAATAATATTTCCGATGGTTATACTGCCTAATGCTACTTGAAAGAATTCAGCTTGAGTCAGGCAGTTAGCCATATTTGCTTGAAATATTGCTCGCAAACCACAAATCACGGTTGTTTCTTTGAAATGGAAGGAAATCCTAACCAGTAGCAAAAAGGCTATTATACCCATTCAGCAGCATAGCTGAAGCTCTGTCTCTTGTGACCCAATATGATTTATCATGCATGTTCAGGAATAACTCTTCTTGATATATATCTTGCTTTCTATTAGGGGACTGCTATTTTATTCTGGATTGTTGATGTGGTCTAGTTCAGCTATATATTTATTAGGAGTGGATTTGAACACCTTCACAAATAAACTAAAAGTCTGGTTTGCTTGTCTGGGCTTTGTATGATTTCATGAAAGATGCAACCCCTTTTACCACGCCTGCCTGCCTGCTTGTTACCATACCCAGGTCTTCTCCTGGTGAAGCAGGAATAATTATGAGGGGGGAGGAGGGGAAATGGAGCCATATAATATTATCAAAACATTTATCAAAGCGCTCTGCATATTAGTCAAGTGCAAATTAGTGCAAGTACTTTTTTCCTAATCACAGCTGCTATCAGGAGCCATAGTAGTAATGGCAGATAATTCGCAGCACTATTGTGTGGGAGAAAACAGTTATTTTAGTGAGCCTTGATTGAACGTTCACTTTAATTTCCTGCATTTTGCTTTGTGCAAACGGCTCTCAAAATGAAATGAAACACCTTTGTCATTATGGATAGGACTGCCTTAAGTGGGAAACCTGTGGGCCTCTGGATATTGTGGGCACCCAACTCTCATCACCTCCTGGGGGCTTGGCCAGTGGCCAGGGATGATAGGAGTTGGGTGCCAACAATATCTGGAGGGCTACAGGTTTCCCATCCCCGCTGTACAGTTGAGCCTCTGATTGGATAGGCATAGAATTGCATCATAAAAAATACCTTATGTTAAGTTGTGGGTGAACAGATCAGACGATACAGCAATTCTTCAAACAGCTCTTGTTTATTCACAGACCCACAACAGAACTGAACTGAAGGGTTCAGCCAGCCTGCTTATATAGAGCTCCACTAGAACGCAACAGTAACCACTTTCTGTAACTATCCAATCACTGAACGTCACTTTCAATTCCTTATTTGCATATGTGGAGTGAAAACTATCTACAGTATCCCCCTGCTGGCCCAGGGTGAGAACTTCAGTACATAACACCTTATTTGGTGTGATCCTGCTACTGAGTCTACTCTGAAGTAAGCCCCACTGAGTTCAGTGAGAGTTACTCCCGGGGAAGTGTGCCTGTATCATTGATGGGAAACTTGTGGGCCTCTGGATATTGTTGGATCGAACTCCCATCAGCCCCAGCCAGCAAGGCACAATGGTTAGGAATGATGGGGGCAAACAACATCTGGAGGGCGGCAGGTTCCCACCCCTGTTAAATAGGGTGGCAGCCATAGATGTCTAATATCATTTCTGACCTCCTTCATTGTCCCTGCTTCTTTTGGATATATAATATCTTGCAAGTGTCCTGGAAAAAATGGGACATCCCATCATCATCGTCCCCCATGAGAGCATGGCCGCCATTTTGGGAGCCACGTCCTTGCATAATTTTGGGACATGTTCTCACCCCGAAAAATGTGCTCCCCCCCCCCAAGGCTGCAATCTCACATGTGTCAAGTGAGTCACATGGGAGTGCAGCCCCGGAAGATGGGGTTCCGGTTTCCT